GGATTTGGCGACTTTGGACAACGAGTACAACACTTTGAGTGAACACATGGCCAAAGGAGAGCAGGATGATTTCAACCCTGAGTGGTTTGGCAATCTTATGGCTTTGGGTTTATATCCGATGATTTGATATGGTTTGAGTACCTTTTGGGATTGAAAGTTTTGACCCAACTCCTATTCATCCATGCCCTCTGAGGTGGGCAAAGGAAGCAGAGGCAAAGATGAAAACATCGACTTTCACGTGGCCCACTAGCAAACCAACTTACTGGTTGCGCAATATTTTTGTGGAACCTTTTTAAGCCACTTTCCCACACGGTCTTCAGGTGCACCAAAATTGCCCAGCATGAAGCCAAGATTCGGTCACTGGCTTGCATACACTGATTGCAGAGCACCCCAAAAGGCAGTATCACAAGTCCTGACATCTGTCGGTGTTTTCATTCGGTGTGGCTCATTTTGAGAGAGTTGGTTCTCTACTGTTTTGTTTGAAATAAGACCAATTCCATACATATTTCCAAGCATGTCCAAGCTGTATCCCCAGGAATGCCAAGCGCCACTTCAAGAAGGTTGTCATCAAAGATGAAAGCCACTGAGGGAGCATATGTAAATCTCATGGCTTGGGTGCCAAAATATTGTATCATAGTCGCCGCTGCAATTGGCGATTCATGAATTTTACTTTTGACTGTCTGGAATCTCCACAGTTAATTTCCTTAGAATGGATAATTCTTTGCGCTTGGCTGTGCCTACCAGCATCCCTGCCCTGTGGTTCAACAATAGTGTCATGGACTAAGCGGTTCATCCGACCCACGGAGAAAGTATTCCATTTCTTCATGTCTGAAATTGTCTTAAAACTTACATAAAGGTAACATACCCAACCAATATGTTGATTGATGTTGGGGGATGCTTTGATGTGGCTCTACTGCACTAGCAGATTTGAAACTCTACGCGGAAGGTTTCTGGGGGAAAAAAAAGTCCTGATGTTTGACAATACCATTGCTTCAATTTATCCACGCTCCACCACACCACCCGTCTCCGGAAGCCAGGTGTCGCTGGCGCATCATCCAAACGCTTTGCAGCAAGTGTGGGCGAAGGAGTCATGACCCCAGCAATGGACGAAGGGGCAAGGTCATGGGTCACTTGACAACGTCTTCCTGATTTCTTTGTTGAAGGATGTTGGATTTCACTCTCATGAGCCTACTGTGGCATTTTGTCAATGGAGGCTTCATGCAGCTACCACCATATCGCCCGTGCATCGAAACCTGTTTTTTTGCTCTGAGTTCTAGGCCCCCACATGATGACAAATTGAAGGAAACAACACTATATTAGCACTTGGAGTCTGATTTTGCACTGTATTAACATTATATTAAAACTACAGTATATTAACACGATATATACATATACACAAAAATGCATGGTTTCCTGCTTGGGTTGCACAGGTTGGTACAAAGCCATGCGTTCTGATCTTGATGAAACTTCAGAGGATGAATTGTTAGACCTTCTCACCTGTCACCGACCAGCTACTTGGATTTCAAACAGTTTCCCAATGTGTTCATCATGCGGGACTCGAAAGTTTAGAATTCCAAAATTGTTTCCCTATAGCTGAGGCTTCTCTTGGGCCATATGCATGGGAGCGGCCGTCAGCCGATGTGCATCAGAACCGGAAGGTTGACCATGGACACCCAGTGCACCCCACGAAAGATGGCCACATGATTTTGGAGGTGAAGCATGCAGTTGGTGGATACCACGTCACACCACGTGATGAGTTTCTACTTCATGATGAGTTGAAACTTCTGAGTCGATCACGGGATGTCTTTGGAAAAATTTCCATGGACCCCTGTATGTCCTACAGGTTACCAAAACCAGGATGTACCGCTGGAAGGGTGTTGGAACACTCCATTACAACCATCAATCGTTTCCTGGAGAAGTATTCACCGATGACGTTTAAGCTGGGGATAACACATGATGCCCACCATCGATGGTATTGTCCAATGTACGGGTACCAGCACTCCAAGGATCGTTTTGACAGACTCCATGTAGTATATGCAGCGTCAAATCCTTATTCTCCTGCTATGCTAGAAGCAGCCCTCATCGACCGCTTTAAGAGCAACCTGGTAGCATGTCTTGTTTAGATGGAAGTATATGGACCATATTATATAAATATGTGGTGCAAGTATGCAGTACTTTGTGATGTGCATGTTTGTCTCGCGCATGTGTGTGTGTGTGACAGTGTGTGTGGTCACCTGCAGTGGGCACTGGGGGAGAGTCCGCTACACTATCTTATGTGCCTTTTGGTGTTGCAAGCCTCCTCTAAGGTATCCGAGGATGCAAGAATGTGCTGACTGGCGGCGATCGAGCTGGCAGTGATTTTGACGGCGAGGGGCCGTTTTTGACGTATATCGTTTACAAGTCATACAAGTACCCTCCTGAACTCCAAAGGTATGATGATTGATCAGGTGTCTAGGTAGTTTTCAATATTGCATGTTCACATGCTGGTGTGGGGATTTTAGCTCCTTCCGTGTGTGCAGTAGTTTGCTGAATTCTTCATTGTACAGTGCTTTGACGCCTGCAGTTGAGCTTGGCAAAAATCATTGCTGTGCCATTTGTGTTTTGGGAGTTGGCCTATTCTGAGCAATTCAGATAAATGAAGACAACCAACATATCTTTTCGAAGACCCCAGCCCGAGACACTCACGAGATTGACATTTAACAAACATTGGGTGATGCCTTGCCCTGCCGGTCTGAGGCCACTTGCAGAAGCCAGATTCTCACAGCCCAGGCTGTGGTTCAGGATATTGGTCAGGCGGAGGCTGCGAAAACTGGTATAAACAAATGGGCTAAATGCAAGCTTGAAAATTCAGAACGTGATACTCACCAGGTCATAAAGAAACAAGGTACTACACTAGATGTGCCGTTGAGCCAGATGACTCTTCAGCATGACACCACAATCGACTGGATTGATCCACGTGATTGGCTTGCATGGCTTGTGAGAAAAGGCCTTTGGACCCGACTTGCTGGGGTTGGCCGTGATGAGCATTCAACAGCTCGAGCTCTCTGGGCAGAGTTTTGGGAACGGTATCGAGTGGTTCAACCGCATTTCCAGTTGTTTGACATGGACGGGATAGACCTATCTCGGACAGCTGCTTTTCTCATACATGGGGACGAAGGACGAACCCTCAAAAGACAAGCAATCATGGTGACGGCTTTGCAATCAGCGCTTGGGTATGGGTTTGATCGTAAGAGAATGGGAAGGGGGGGTGGCGGCCCACGACCATTGAAGGTCAACTACTTGGGTCATTCCTTCACACATCGATTCATCATTTCCATGATGCCAAAGACTGTCTACGAAAGTGCACCTGAATCTTTTCACAATGCAATGGAGAACGTTGCCATTTCTTTGAAGAGTTTACTACTTGATGGCTATCGTGATCCAACAACACATGAGCTTTTCAGGATTGCGATCATAGCTGTCAAAGGGGATGCACCATATCTTGCAAAGGTGGGCCGTCTGTATAGATCATTCAACACGCTGGTGAAAAGGGGTGATGAACGTACTGCACCCAAGGGAATTTGTCACAGGTGTTTAGCAGGAACCTATGGCTACCCGGCAGAGCAGATCGACACCGTTTCTCCAAAGTGGTTGGAAACTCAAGGTGTGAAAATACCATGGATGAAAACACCTGCAGTGATCAAACATTTGGCTCACGATGTGTCAGACCCGTCAACTTTTTTTCAGGGAGACATTTGGCACACTGTGCACCTTGGATTTGGACGGTCTTGGGTGGCTTCAGTGATACAGCTGGTGCTAGAAGTTGTTCCAGTTCCAAATCTGGAGTCTAAATGGCAATGGCTTACCAATGACTACAAAAGATTTTGCAAACAATCTCACAGACAATGCCACATCAGTAGCATCACACCATACCTCATGTCACACAATGACAGAACTGGTTGCATGGGGAATTGGAGCAAAGGCGCCCTTACAACAAATTGTTTGTTGTGGTTGGATGACTTGATTGGCAAATTACCACCAGATGCATGCCAACGGTTGCCCAAATGCCAGCGTGCAACTGTATGGATGAACGAGCTGTGGTCTTGCTTGTTTCGAGCCGAAGTTTTCTTGACTGAGGAGCAATGCTTTTATGTTGCAACCAGAGGCGTTCGTTTCCTACAGACGTACTCACTGATGGCCCGAGATCTTTTCGGAGACAATCGTCCATGGGTTTTTCCTTTGTATGGTAAGCTACATGGGTTCCATGAGCAGATGCTAACCATTTTGCAGCAGGCCCGACTCTACAAGATGTCCCTCAATCCGATTGTCTTTTGCTGCCAAATAGATGAAGACGCCATTGGAAAAGCCAGCAGAATAAGTCGAAGAGTAAACATCAGGCAAGTCATCCATCGTTCGTTGCAACGATATTTAATTGCAGCACACACTGCATTCACCAAAGAAGGCCTTTTGAGATGAAGAAAAGGCGCTGAGTTGATGTGTCTGTGGTTTGGGCAGGCCCATGTGCACGCTGTTAATGTGGCCATGTGTATGTGAACACACATGTATGATCATGCATGTACATTCCTTGGGAATCAAACACCTGCATACTTAGTTCACAATATTGGGTTATGGTTGATTATGCTAAAACCTGGTTTTTTTGAAAAAAACATGTTTTTTTTTGAAACCCTAAAAATTGAAGGTTTTTGATTCCCTAGGTATATATATACTTGGACAAATCATCGACATTTGAATCTTCGAATTCCATTCAATCATTCCGCATCGTATGTAGTGAAAAACAGATGCGGTAAACTGGTAAACTCGATGTCCAACCATCACTACAGGATGGTGCCCCGCAGTTATATATAAGTTGGTTTATAAACCCCGTTAACTCTAGTTCTATCTGCCATAAAGCATACAATTCAGCCACGTTTTCTCTGCAACTTAGCTATCTTGGGGGCCTCATCCTATAATACCACCATTCTTATGGATGGTTACCATCATCCCCAGGCTTTGCAAGAAGC